TATCCCCGGCTGCCTCCAACGAACTGCTACCACACTTCTCTAACGAGGACTCCTCGTTCAAAGTGCTCAGATTTTGCACAGATACCACATTCCGTAAGGTATTTATGGTAGCGCTATCCTTCAATCCACTAGCAGCCAAATTCGGTATGGAACCACGGAAATTGAAGTTGCTTTTGTCCAACAGCTGCGATTTGCCTTTGAGTATGGCGCCGATCGATTGTAGCGTGTCCAATTGCAAGCGTGGCAGTACCGAAATCGTAGCCTGTAACAAGGTCACAGCTGTGGAGGGCATCAGCGGCAAGTGATAGCTGGGCACCAAATCACAGAATTCCGTAATTGGATTAAGTACACCACAGACGCCACCCGATAGCTGATTCAATTCACCGCCAACACCCGAAAGCTGATTACAGTCTGCCGAAAGCGCCAAGGTGACGGGCGCTGTGGTCCAGAGTGCCGCATGGAAGGCTTTCTTGCCGACAACAAATGCTTGCGCGCCATCCAGTATGGTGAAATCCTCAAAGCGTAAATTAATGGCGTTGGCTAGGGGACGCAGAGCGGGTGGAATGACGGGCGTCTGTTGGAGCTGTATATGGGAAGATCAGAATTACATGCGTATTTATAAACTGTATTGATTTCGGGCATTAAGACACATTGGGCGCTACACACCTGATCGAGCACCTGTGCTAAGGCTTCGTGATTTGCCACGACCACTGCGGTGTAATTGTCCTCTATGGTTTTGTGTACAACACTGCGACCTTTGCGCATGCGCAAACGATTTGTAGCCTTTGCACGATGTTTGATGGCCTGCAAAAGGTTTGAACAGTAGGATGTATAAGTACATTAATGTTTTATGTTTGTATATGGGACATTACATACAATATTTACACCTCAATATTTTTTTGTGGTGAAATATATTTTTTTACATTCGTTATCGAAAAAAAGAAGACACCTATTATTTTATTTCGTCATGAAAATTCGAAAATTTCGAAAAAAAAAATTCCCGAAATTTTGAACTCACGGAGATGTATCTTTTTTCAATTGTTTGGAGTTAGTAAACTATTTGTCGGAGAAAATCAATTAAGGTATAAAAATGTGCGTAATTGCCTCGGCTTTCCATGTGAGTCTGAGATAGATTAAAATAAAAAAAAAAATTGCATCAAAAAATCGATTTTTTTTTTTTAATTTTTTTATTAACTTCATCATGTTTGATTTAAATTTTTTTCAACCTGAATAGTTGTCAAACTTAATGGAGTAAGGTTAGTATAAACTTTATGTACGCAGGTATGAAAAAACNTTTTTTTTTATCTATCTCACACTCTCGTGGAAAGCCGAGGTAATTATGCACATTTTGATACCTTAACTGATTTTCTCCGACAAATAGTTTATTAACTGCAAACAATTAAAAAAATATACTTTCCAATTTCGGGATGTTTTTTTTCGGGATTTTCGAATATCATGACGAAATAAAAAACTGGGTATCTTGAGGTGTAAATAAACAAGAGGTGAATAATTTAAACATAAAATAAGGAAAAGAAGGCCAGTTGTGCCAGGTGAAGTCTAATCCCTAGACATTGCTGCCTGCAATTAACATATATATGTATGTATGTATATAACTACATGCTTCGAGTATTAATCTATTCTCCAATTAAGCTTTCTTCAATATATCTACATATCGTCACCAGACACGAATAAAGGCGCGAGCTCAAAAGTTGACCGCGAAAAAAGATTCATTAACAAAACTTCAACGAAGAAAGACTCCAAACATAGTTGTCGGCGAAGAAAGCCGCGTTAAAATATTTGACGGCGAAGAAAGACGCATAAACTATTTTCGCGGTCAACTATGGTTGCGGGTGCAACAGTATGTAAAGAGTTTTTTGGGAAATGATGCTGAAGACACAGTCGTTGGCCCGATGACCCCGAGCTCCTTTATCTTAAATGGTCGATAGCCGTCGGTGTATCTGATATTGAATGCCATGGGGAGGACAATCTTAACTCGATTAACTATATTAACTTTATACCATCTCAGCGCTGTTAGACAAACTATCCCAACTCAGATGCGTTTAATTCGGATAGTTTGTCAGTTAGGTAGATTGAAGGCTATCGACCAGTTGAGATAAATTAGCTCGGGCAAACAGTATGTCGTTTTGTTGAAGAGACCTTACTGAGGGCTAGGAGTGGGGAGGCGAAAATAGTGGGCCGCTTATAGAAAGGTCTTTGGTCATCGCATCCCATTTTTAACGAGATGTTGAAGAATCACATTTATACAGCGAGCCGCTTGCTTCAAGACAGACGCTCGCTTGTAGCAGCACCTCATGGTGACCAGATGCTACAAGCTTCAGTACACCATTAAACAGAACACGACAGAGTGATTCCACCAAAGCTTTGTATATTTCCGTCGTTACACCAGGATATACAATGGTTGGGGTTCGTTCCTACTCTGTTACACTATTATTATATTACAGCGCTATATTATTCTTAGCAAAAATTAGTATTGAGTTTAACCATTGTCTACCGAAGCTGAAGCTGAAGACGAATTGCTTGCACGTTCCCACGACAGTCGGGTCTACGTAACCAGAACGACCCAGGTTTATGTCTGGCCAAGGACTGTCACTCCAGAAACACTCCGCCAAAACTCTTTTGGGAATCTGTATGCTGTTATAACAACAACAACATAAAAAACATCCGCATCTTTACCAAAATTTTGCATGAAAGATGAAGGACATCTAAAAATCACAAACTAATCGAACTGTATTGGTAAGATTTAAATCGTGGCCAAATCCATTGTAAATAATGACAACAAACCCTCGGATTGTGTATACCTATTTTTTTATTTACAGTTAGTTTTACGCAAGTGATGAGTAAACAAAATCGACTAGTTTTTTTTCAACCCCTAGAACTAAAAAGACTATGCACAACTTTTAACTGAATCGAAATTGGAAAGACCTTTCCGAACCGTATTAGAATGGAAGGACAAATTTGGGCAACATATGCCTAAAACCGATTGCAGAGTCAAGTATAAATATATATATGTGTGTATGTACTTATGTAGATGACTGAGTTATATGAAAGTAGGCGCCTGAATGCTTTGTACAATATCTTCATTCTTCGCATTTCCCCTATTCAAGGGACAGCTCAGGAAGGAAACATTTGACGAAGATAGAGAACAATTTCCGATGCCAATATGTTCGGCTAGATATATAGATATGAAAGGGAGGTTATTACTGCGGCCAATAGGTCTATTGTACCCTCAACCATTTAAAGTACCTCATCCATCCGCAGACATTCCATAGATTTGAAGTAGAAGTTGAAATAGATGTATGAATTTCTTATTTGGCGTTGATAAAACATAAATCTAATCTGAAGTCGTTCACAACTATTAGAAATGCAATAACGACACAACTTAAAATTTCATGTTTTTCAGTAGAGCCAATTAAAGTTTTTGCGTTTCATAATTGATCAATAATACATACATACGTATGTCTAGGAACGTAATTGTTGTGAATTAATTGCAGTCATGCAATTTAAGCTTTCAATTTCTGCTTTAAAATGATTTAGTAGGAACTAGACTGAAAAAAGACCAAACAGTTAAACAAAAATAAGTTCACTAGTATTTTTTACTGAACAACGGCACTAAATGAAAAATGTAGTTATTTCCTCTAAAAGTATAACTAACTGAACGACAATGCTTGATTAATGTGAATATTTACGATAAATGAGTGATATGTGCCACTGCTCAGTAATAAGAGTTGCCTACCTAGATTTTCTGGTACCAATTGTGGATTCGTAACAAAAAATCATAGTACATAAGTCGATTTTCCACAGAAAATATGGTTATTAATTAACCTAAACCGCCATATAACTAAAAAGCATGCAATTTTGAATTGTGTCGGTAATGCAGGGGGCCATCGATATGTATTTACTTAAATATAAATATTTTTTATCACCGATATCATTACATTTCTATGTGTATATATGTATCAAACTTTCACTTACCGATGGTATGCCCCATACACTATCATTAATATCGGTAGCTACATCACCGCCTGCCTCGCTGCCATAATAACTGTACGGCGCATAGATTTCGAATTCGCCCACCTCACTGCCACAATATGAAGCTGAAATAATGCGTGGAATGTTGGCTGCGCGGAAAGCGAAGGAAAATAAGGCAGTAAGTAGGCAGTTAAAATAACAGTAAACGTAAATATGTAAATT